TCGCTGTTCAAGCTGGTGGCACCAAGGGGGCCCTAGAGTCAGTGTCTTTTGGGGCACGCCTTGTTTACTGTGGGGGCATTGACTGAAGGCTGCCCCCTGGTTTACTCTAGGCCCCCCTCATACCCAGATCTTGTCCCCCTGGGTGGGCATGCGAGAGCAGCACCAGCCAGCCTGGTGGTAGTGACTGGCAGGTAGATTCCTGTAGACGGCCAGACTGTAGGGCAGCAGGCAGTAGCCCAGCTGCAGCCGCCGAGCCAGCCGGCAGAAGGCGGCCAAGCCAAGCACCAGGAGTGGCAGGAGCAGTGTGAAGCCAAGGACCAGCAGGGCCGTGGAGCCAGCGTCGTGCAGATGGGCCTTGCACGGGGCCACCTGGGCATGTAGAAACTGCAGGCAAAAGGAGAGTGTCAGTGTGTGTGTGACAGCTGTGCAACCAGCTTATGTGCAAACAAGGCCTGGGCTAGCCACTGAGCACTTCAAGGCAGGCCACTGTGCCTATAGGCACACTTGAAGCAAGGGATTGGCATATGAGCTTGCACACCTGCATGCAGATGAAGAGTGCCCCTTTGTACACACGTGTAAACTGGCTTGCATATCGGCAGCAGACCCACCCATGCTCTGGGCACCATGCATGTAAAGGGATGCTTGGACTGTGCCACCACGGCCCCAACAGCCACACGTCTATGTAAATGGGCACAAATTGCAGATCACCCAAGTGGTGTGCCGGGCTGAAGGGGGGGGGGAGTGCAGCCCCTACCCAGCTCCCTTTACCAAATGCCTGCGTGGGCTCGGGCTCTGCACTCCGCCCCCAGATCAGTCAGGAGTGATCAGTGCGGCACCAGGAGGAGACGGCTGTGCTGGGACATGCTGCCCTGACCCCCTTGGGGTTATCAGCCACAACCAGACCCCCAGGCCTGCATTTCCTCAGTTGTCAGGGGGAAATCTGTATGGGGGAAGGGAACAGCAGGATGCCTGGGTTCTCTCCATGGCTCTGGGGGAGAAGTGGGGGCTGGTAGAGCAGGGGGGGACTGGGAGCCAGGACTCCTGGGGATTTGTTCCTTGTCGCTAAAGGCAAACCCCCCCCCCCCCCCCCACATCTGCATCCCAGCTGAGGGACCCAGTCCCTTCCTCCATCCAATACCACCCCCCTCCACAACATTCCTGGAGATAAGGGAATTTAACATTCCAGCTGGGGGCCAGGGCTTGGAGGGGCTGGGCTAGCCAGCTCTGTCACTCCCTTCCCACCACAGCAGGTCCACCCAGCGCCTCCAGCAACCCCTGGGTAGTGGGGGGGCATATGTATAACAACTCCCCAGGGATCCAGCGCCCAGCCATCACCAGCATGTGCTCCCCCAGGTCCACCAGTGCCTCTCACTCCAGACCTGCAGCCCCTGCCTCCACACCCCCGTCTGCCCGTGCTCTCGCTCCTAACCCGGAGCCTCGGCTAGCCTGGCCCTGGGATCCCCCATCTCTGCTGTGCCCCTCTCTCTGCGCCCGCAGCCCCCTGCAATGAAGCCTCCATCTGATTGGTGTCACTTTGGATCGGTGCTCTGAGCCTGGAGGAGCCCAAACTCCAGGGAGCCAGTGGCTGAGGGGCTGGAATTGGGGAGGGAGGCTGGGCCAGGTCCCCCGGGGGACAGGAGAGTATGGAGGAGGCATTAGTGGGGTGAGGTCACTGGGCCCCTTTCACTTGTGGGACTGGGGGGCACATGGGGCGGGAAAGGGAGCCCTAGCAGGCTGCAGGATCCGGGGAACAGAGGGGGCGAGGGGGTCTGCAGGGGCGTCCTGGAGGACTCAGAACACTGGACTCTCGGGGGCACAGAGGGGAGGGAGTCACGGGGGCTGGGTGGGAGGTGCGGGCGCACTGGAAGTGGTCTCTGGGGACACGGGGTTTCGCGAGGGCAGGGGTCTCGGGAGCAAAGGGCGCTGAGGGGAGCACAGAGCGGGTGGGGGAGCTCTGCGGGTCTCGGGTCTGCAGGGGCGTCCTGGAGGACTCAGAACACTGGACTCTCGGGGGCACAGAGGGGAGGGAGTCACGGGGGCTGGGTGGGAGGTGCGGGCGCACTGGAAGTGGTCTCTGGGGACACGGGGTTTCGCGAGGGCAGGGGTCTCGGGAGCAAAGGGCGCTGAGGGGAGCACAGAGCGGGTGGGGGAGCTCTGCGGGTCTCTGGGAGGCTCACCTTGGAGTGGCAGAGGAAGCCCAGCCCCAGTGCGACGCCCGCGGGCAGCAGCGCGGCCGCGCAAAGCAGCGCGCAGAGTAACGCGCACAGCGCTGCGGCCAACAGGTTGTGCGCGCTCAGCAGCACCGCGCAGGCAAGACAATCCAGCGCCCCGCGCAGTTCCAGCGCCGCCTCGGGCTCCAGGTACGGGGGCGGGGGCACCCGGCG